GAGGGATGACTGTACTCTCAGGAGGAATATAACACAATAAGTTTTACATTACTTCAACCAACAACTTTTCATATATAATTTTAGCACACAAGAGAATAACCAGGCACATAAAGAAATAAGAAAACACGAGATCCAGTAGAAACAACTACAGTAGAAACAATCCCACAGAACTCCAGTTAATGGATTTATCAGATACATACTTTAAATTAATTATGTTTACTACACATAAGGAGATAAAAGACAATATCAACAAATTTGGCAGAGGACTGAAAACTTTAAAACAGGGTGAAAAAGATTTAAAAAATAACCAATGAGCAATTTAGAATTTAAAAATGTACTAACGAAAGCGAAGAGCTCAGTGGATGCTCTTTACTTGGTTTAACAAAAAAATTATACACAGCTGTAGGGAAAATTGATGAACTGGAAAGTAGGTTAGAAGAAGACATCAGGATGAAACATGGAGAGACAAAAGGATAGCAATGCTACAGAGAGGAAGAGATATGGAGATAAAATGAGAATTAAAATTTCAGAAGGAGAAGAGAAAGAGAATGGTGCAGCACCAATATTTGAAGAGAAAATAGTTGAAAAATTCCCAAAATTGATTAAAGACAACAAGCCACAAATCTCAGAAACCCTGGGAGCTGCAAGCAGGAGAAATTTTTAAAAGCCCTACCTAGGTGTATCACAATAAGATAGATGAAGACAAAGGAAAAAAACAAGTTACAAGCGGCTGCCATTACTTGAAAAAATGTAAGAGACTGTTAGCTTACCTCTTGATAGAAACAATGGAAACTAGAAATTAGTGGAATTTAAATGTCTTTGAAGTGCTGAAATAAAATAACTGTCAACTTTAGAATTCTATGTCCAGTGAAAATAGCCTTCATTAATAAAAGTGCAATTAAGACATTTTCGGGATTCTTTACTAGCATCAAATACTAAAGGATGTTCTTTAAGCAGAAGGAAGATGATTAAGAATAATAGGTTATACAGATGCAGAAAGAAATGAGGTCCAGCATGAAGGTCTATTTGAGGAAATCTAAATGAATTATACCGTATGAAACAATATAACACACTGCTGAAGATTTAAAAAATTAAAATATATTAAAAGTGCATACAAATCAGGAGAAGAAGTAAATGAATTGAAACGTTCTGAGGTCCTTGTATTTAGAGGAAGAAATGAAAGTACCAATTAACACTATTAGCCTTTGCTAACTCAGAGACGCATACTGTGATCTATAGGATAACCTCTAAAAGACTACTAAAAAGATAGGCAACTTCCAAAACAATGGAAGCAAAAACAATATTTTCCAAAAGCAGGCAAAAAGTGAGGATAAAGAGAACAGAGAGCACGTGGGACAATTGAAAACAATAACACGCTATATTTAAATTCAAATATATCAGTAATTACACTAAATGTAAATAAAATAGTTCAATTAAAATCAAAGATTGAATTGGATAAAAATCTGCATACTGTTTATAAGAAACATACCTAAGACATTTGTATTATAATGTTGAAATTAAAGAGTGGAAAAATATAAATATTAACAAAAATATATTAATGTTATCTATATTAATATTAGACAAAGTAGACTTTAAGGCAAAAAGCATTATCATAATGATAAAAAGTTTAATTCATGAGAAAGTACAATGATTATAAAACTTGTACACATAATATAGCTTCAAAAATATAAAACTAAGATTGACAAAACTGAAAGATGTGAACAGATACATGAGTAAGAATATAGATTATTTAAACATGATTAGCAAACTCGACTTAGTGGACATGGACTACTACATCCAACAATTATAGAACTCATGTTCTCCAAATATGACTCTACTTTCCAAGCAAATAATAGGATTGAAATTCTGCACCTCATTTTATGTTGTATACCCATATGACTCGCTTTGGCCAATAAAATATGAATAGAAATAATTACTAGTGTATTAGTAAACATATCTTCTTTTTTTTTTTTTCTTCTCAAAAGCAGAAATCCTTCAGTCCAGTTCCTTGAGTGAGGATGATACAGAATGGAGCTTCCCAACCCACCTGCAAATGGACAGACATGCCCATCTGTGAGTGAGAAATGAGCCTTTGTTATTTTAAGCCACTGAGATGTGGGGATTATTTATGATCACAGTCGTGTCACCCTTTTTTCTATTAATACACATAGAAAAAAAGATGGGCTGTTTTCCAGGCACAGAGGTGAGCCTGTTTTGAAAGAATATGGTATAATACAGTCCTGGTGAGTTCACTGGCTTATGTCCCAGGGAGATGGGCATAGGAATTGTGGCTGAGGCAGAGAAAGCAGCTCCCAAGAAGAGCTTATGAAGATTGGCTAGAGGCAAGTTTTAAAGGGACATGGATTTCACAGTAAATATTGAATATTTACTGGATATATCCTACAAGTTGAAGGATCTCCAGAAGTTAGTGACTGACTTGACTACTGATAACAACGGAGATGAACCAGGAAGAAGCTGATCAGTGTGAAAGGGTGGAATTAGGTAGAGAGCTACTACCAATGAACACATTACAGGTTTTGTTTTTGTTTCTCACTCTCTAGAGGTAGACATTATTAAGAATTTGGTGAGGGCCAGGCATGGTGGCTCACACCTGTAATCCTAGCACTTTAGGAGGCCAAGGCAGGTGCATCACAAGGTCAGGAGATCAAGACCATCCTGGCTAACACGGTGAAACCCCATCTCTACTAAAAATACAAAAAATTAGCCGGGCGTGGTGGCGGGTGCCTGTAATCCCAGCTACTCAGGAGGCTGAGGCAGGAGAATGGTGTGAACCTGGGAGGCGGAGCTTGCAGTGAGCCGAGATCACGCCACAGCACTCCAGCCTGGGCGACAGAGTGAGACTCCGTTTTTTGTTTGTTTGTTTGTGTTTTTGTTTTTTTTTAAAAAAAGAATTTGGTGAGAATTTCTCCAGCAACTGCATGCACATGCAAACACACACACACACACACATACACACACACACACCAATTTAAAAAAACACACATTGCATCAATCATATTCTACCTGCAATTCTGAAAAAAATTCCAGTTGATAATATATCCATGGTTGTTTTCCATGTTACTACAAAGAGATTTGCCTTTCTTGGCCAGGCGTGGTGGCTCATGCCTGGAATCCCAGCACTTTGGGAGGCCGAGGCAGGCAGATCACAAGGTCAGGAGATCAAGACCATCCTGGCTAACACGGTGAAACCCCGTCTCCACTAAAAATAAAAAAAAAATTAGCCAGGCGTGGTGGCGGGCACCTGTAGTCCCAGCTACTCCGGAGGCTGAGGCAGGAGAATCAATTGAACCCGGGAGGTGGAGCTTGCAGTGAGCCAAGATCGTGCCACTGCACTCCAGCCTGGGTGACAGAGAGAGACTCCATCTCAAAAAAAAAAAAAAAAGAGAGAGAGTTGACTTTGTTTTTTATTGGCAGCTTAGTATGCCATAGTACCACTGTATCACAGTTAGGCAACCGTTCTGTTGACACTTAGGTTGTTTCCACAATTGCAAACAATTCTTCAGTGACCATCCTTGCAAATACTATCCAAGCATTTCAACATCTTCTTTCTGCAGGCAATAAGACCAGCTTTGCCACCATTCTAATGGTAAAAATTTTAAGCTGGGTAACAAAGAAACACAACCAGGCCAGCTATTTGAGGTAGTAATTTTTGGTTAATGGGTGACTGCTGGGCTTCAACTGTGCCCAGAATGGTGTTTCAAACATAGTGGGCACTCAGTAAGTATTTGCTGAATGCGTGAATGAATCAACAACTGAATCCACATCCACTATAGACGCTTGTCAGGCCTGCCCCGCCCCCATTTATAATAGGATTTTTCAACCTCAGCACTATGGACTGTTGGGGCCAGAAAATTCTTTGTTATGGGGAGCTGTCCTGAGCATTGTAGAAAGTTTACCAACATCCCTGACCTCTACTCACTAGATGCCACTAGAACAACCCCAGATGCAACAACTAACAATGTCTGCAGAAACTGCTAAATATCTCCGGGGAGAAAAAACACTCCTGATTGAGAACCACTGATTTATAATACGGGTTGAAGTTGACTAAGGGCAAAGGCCCTTTATGAAAACAACTAACTCTAGGCTGGGCACGGTGGCTAATGCCTGTAATCCCAGCACTTTAGGAGGCTGAGGCCAGCGGATCATTTGAGGTCAGGAGTTCGAGGCCAGCCTGACCAACATAGAGAAACCCCGTCTCTATTAAAAATACAAAAAAAAAATGAGCTGGGCATGGTGGCACCTGTAAACCCAGTCATCTATCCATCCATTTATCCACCAATTCCTCAAATGCCTATTGAGCACCTACTGTGTGCCAGGCCTGTAATCCCAGCTACCGGGGAGGCTGAGGCAGGAGAATTGCTTGAACCCAGGAGGCAGAGGTTGCAGTGAGCCGAGATCGCACCACTGCACTCCAGCCTGGGTGACAGAGTAAGACTCCATCTCAAACAAAACAAACAAGCAAAACCCCAACTAACTCTAAAAAGGTTGATCCTACTTCTCCCTGATCCTCTCATGTTATGGTGACCTTTTTTCCCTGGGTCTTCACAGTTTTTTCATAGAGATTCTTGGATACCTTATTTTTGGTTTGGATTTCTTTCCTCCAGGGCTATCTTCCCTGATGCCTCCCCCATCAACTAGGTCAATCCTCATTATACATTGTTAATCTCCATTATTCATTCTCTAATTACCGAATATCCCTCCTTGGTGTGGAGGAAAAAAATATTAAATTTGAATTCAACTGAACGTGGACACAAACAATGGTCACTAAGTCCCGGAACAGGTTGTGTGAGTCCCTTGAGGCATTCATCCAGCACTGTTTCGGAGAAATCTCCATTTCCATCTACTCCTATACGTTAGTTATTGAAAAACAACACGCGATCACAAAAACAAGTTGACGTTTTTGTGTTGCTTGAGCCCAGTTGCGAAGGGCCCTTGTGACTGGGTCTCATGCCAAACAACTCGTTACACAAGAGCTAGGGTCCCAGACTGTGCGAAGCTTCACAGGCCTCTCCTCGTCTGTGCACAGACAAGTGGCTGACTCTGGAGCCCAGGCTATTGCCTCCTGGCCTGGTGATGAATCCTCCATAGTCTGGTGAGTATAAATATATATATATATCCTTCTTCCCTTCCCACTGCAATTTACTTATTCTATCATTTGCTTATTATATCTGCATTGCTATTTACATGGGATTCAAAAGTACTGTGTGTGCCTTTTCTTTCCCCTCACACGTTTCCCACACAGAACACTTAGTGATTATCAGTGTTGAATTCTTACATTTATTGGATTAATTATTAAAAGTGTATCCATAATCTGTTTCCCTCTCTCATCTTCCTAGAGGAGGACATCACTAAGAATTTGCCATGGAACATGCCATTTTTTGCTCACTATTTTTATTTCTAGTGCCTAAAACAAGGCCTTGCACACAGTTGGTGCTCAATGGGTATCTGAGGAATGGCTGGATGAATGGATGGATAGATGGTATCCTATTATCAGTCAGCAATAGCCAGCCCAACGGTACAGCAGACTTCACAAATTGTTCTTGTACCTTCTAAAACAATTTTGAAAAACAATGTTACAAATACCCACATTTAAACATTTATGTTAATTTTCATCATTAAGTTTATATGGTTTCAAGAGCTTAATTTCTAAAATATTGTAAAGTTGGAATTCAAAAATTAACTGTGGGCCGGGTGCGGTGGCTCATGCCTGTAATCCCAGCACTTTGGGAGGCCAAGGTGGGTGGATCACCTGAGGTCAGGAGTTTGAGACCAGCCTGGCCAACATGATTTAGTAGAAACCCCATCTCTACTAAAAATACAAAAATTAGCTGGGCATGGTGGCAGGTGCCTGTAATCCCAGCTACCCGGGAGGCTGAGGCAGGAGAATCTCTTGAACCCGGGAGGCAGAGGCTGCAGTGAGCCAAGATTGCACTATTGCACTCCAGCCTGGGCAACAGAGCAAGACTCTGTCTAAAAAAAAAAAAAAAAAATTTAAACTGTGACATCATTCTTTAAGTGTACCTATTAATCTGTTATTTCTTTTTTTTTTTTTTTTTTAGACTGAGTTTTGCTCTGTCGCCCAGGCTGGAGTGCAGTGGCATGATCTCAGCTCATTGCAAGCTCTGTCTCCTGGGTTCATGCCATTCTCCTGCCTCAGCCTCCCAAGTAGCTGGGACTACAGGCACCCGCCACCATGCCCAGCTAATTTTTTGTATTTTTTTTTAGTAGAGATGGGGTTTTATCGTGTTAGCCAGGATGGTCTCGATCTCATGACCTCGTGATCCGCCCGCCTCGGCCTCCCAAAGTGCTGGGATTACAGGTGTGAGCCACCACGCCCGGCCTTAATCTGTTATTATTTTTAACATTCTCTTTGATTTGCTTCCACAGTTCTGTCCCTCAATATTCAAGGGAGGAAAAGCAAAGTGGTTAAATTAAAAAATACCTAATTAATCATTAAAAGAGGCTGAATTAAAGTATTAAAGGAAGTTCCTAGTTTGGGGACTTTGAGATTTTTATACTTGGGGCAATGTCACCTTAGTAAGATTTGTGAAAAGTGACAGGTATGGTTTCCTTTCATACAGTTGCGGAAGGATTATGAACACACACACGTGCTCAGGCAAACCAGGTTTAGGAAAGAGTAGCTGCAGAAATGGAGAACCTGGAAACTGATTCTCTAAAAATAATCCTTGGTGTGGCCCGCCTCTTTGGAAAGCCTTGAAGACCTCCATCGGGGGTAATGCAACCTAGTGACCTGCAGACGGCAGTGTTGGACAAGCTGTTGGCTCAATCTCTCTGTCTCTTTCTCAGGGTAGTGGAAAGCGCAGTCCAGCTTGGATACGGTGGGAACCCAGCCTGGGCGACCCAGCCCAGTCCTCTCTGGTGTGTGTGTTTGCATGGTGAATTATTCCTAGGAAAATGGCTCCAACGAGCATGGTGGCCAGAGACTCCGTCCTGTACCTAGAATCAGGGCCTGGGACTGTAAACAGATGAAAACCTCATTTTCTCACCCCTTCAATAACTGGATTTGGGACAGAAATCAAGGATTGAAGCTGTGGGTCTGAATCAAGCCCAAGGGTTTTGTTTTCCCTCTTATGAAGTGAAAAGAACAGTGAAATGTCAACAATTCACATCTTCAGGAGACAGTAGGGCAAAGTGGCCAAGAGCTCAGACAGTGGGGAGTTCCCATCCCACTCTACCCTCTCCAAAGGTTAGGTGAGGAGCCTTTCCAAACCTCAGCTTCCCTGGATATCAAATAGGAGCGATCTTACCCACCTGGCAGGGGTGTTGTAAGGATTAAATGCGAGAATGCAGAAGTACTCTGCAAATTAAGGACATTCAGCAAGAAAGATCCTAGCAAATAACAGTGATAATGGTGAAGAGGATGATATTGAATTGGCATCTTGCCAGGCATGACATTTTCAAAACTTTCCATTCACGTCTGAAGAGGAAGGATCAGAGGCGAAAAATCGAGCTGTCTCAATGTCGTAAGTTTTACAAGCCTAGGAGCCAGAGGCAGAAACAGCCAGGGCAGAAGGCAGAATCAACACATTGAGACCTAGCTCTGTGGTGTTGCCCACACCTGCCTTCCAGGGTGGGGGCTCCCATCCTGGTGTTGATTAGAAGATCTTTGCATCTAAAATAGTGTGTATGATGACTGTACAACACGACCACCAGACTCAGAAACACCTGCATCAGACATAAAAGTAAGGACTTCCTTCATTACACTGATCCTCTGAGAAACCTCAAAGGGTAGCAGAATTGAAGAAAAATGTTAAGTTGGACACATTGCTTGGATGTACTGAAAGTAAGGCTCGGAGCAAAACCCACTCCCTTCTGCCTCATATTGGGAAAGGTAACAGGGACTAGTGCACAGAGAGGAATGGAGAGAACTCGGATGAGATCATTGTCCTTTCACCTGGCAGCTGTCCAGCCCCCAAATAGCTTTTGTGTCCCGTCCAAAAATAAGATCACATGAGAGGGGGAGAAATAAATACACAGTGCTTGTCCTTGGCCTTTCTGTGGGCATACCAGTGTCAGCTGCACTTGTAGGGACCCAAGTGCCTCATGACCCACTCCGCTACCTTCCTCTCTAGGATCCCCAAGGCTGGGAGGCCAACCTACTAGCAGGGTGGGTATGGTGTGTGGTTTCACTCAGTTCTTCTCATGGGGTTCCTCTGAGCTCCATTCATACCAGAAAGGGAGCGGGAGAGAGAGGACAAGTGGATCCAACAGCCTTCGCTCCAGGGGAATCAGGGCATCGCCTCCTTTTCTGGGAGGACACTCCCTTCTGATGGTGAATGGGAACTCCCTTCCTCCTGCAGCAGCCTGCCTGCAGCCGTCCTGGTAGAACAGTGTGGACATTGCAGAAGCTGTCACTGCCCCAGAAAGAAAGCACCCCAGAGCCAAGGCAAAGAGGTGAGTGCATCTGTTTCTGCAAAGGGCTCAGATTGCTACAGACTTTCTGCTTGACTTCATGCTTGTGCTCAGCATGAACGTTCTCCCTCACCCACCCCTTCCTTTTCTCCTCCCTGATCTGGGTCTGTGGCAAGCTTGAGTCTATGTGATGAATGCTAGAGTGAAATATTCCTGTACTGCCTTCTCTCATTCAAAGTCAATTTACTCCCAGCAGGAACGGGGTAGGTCTAGTTCTCAGTGGGGAAGCAGGAAGTGGTTCCTACTAAGTGAATTATCTTTGCTGAGATCCAAGAAGACGTTTACCAGGAAATCATTAGACAAATCCCATTACAGTAGACTTAATGCTTCATTTTAAAAAGCACTGCATGAAATAGAAAATAAAAGGATGCCAGCTGATTCTTTGTTGTTGGCAAAAAGGAAAAAAACAAAAATGGGACATGCAGAGCCTCTTTTTCCCCAACACCTCCCTTTCCCATCTCTTCCTGATTTCTTAGAGCCCTGTAAAATATACTTAACAGATCCAGGAACTCCTTTCTCTGGTTGAAAACAAGAGGAATAAAATCAGGGGTTTGGGGGAAATTGCTCTGTACACAGACTTCAGAGACAAAGAGGAGAAACAGATTTTGCAGCCTCGGTCTCCCCTCTAATGCCTCCGCATATCACATGTACCTATATCCATTTAGGGATATGGATAGATGCCACTATCACTTCCACACACAAACTGTTATCCTGGAGGCAATCTGCCCCTGGGCTATGGACTACAAATACCCATGCTAAGAAGCAACCAACAAAATTCTGGTAGGAACAAAGTAATTGCTTGAATAAGTCAGAATTCATTTAGTAACCATGGACTGAAACCCAGTTTGAAGAGACTTAGGCAAAAAGAGGATTTTTTTTTTTAACTCATGTGCCTGAAAAAGCAAGGTTTTGGTATAGTAAGATCCAGGGGCCTAGATGATGGCATCGTGAATCTGTCTTTCCATTTCTTGGCTTTGCCTCCCCTGTGTCCTTATGTTTCCAGGAAGACCTGCCCATTGCGATGGCCAGAGGGCTGCAGCAGCTCCCAGCTGACATCCTACTAGCACAGCGCCGTACAAGAACAGGTGCTTCCCTTTCTAGTTCTAGCTAGAATCTCAGGGTCAATCTCATAGAACCAATGTGGGTATTGTGCCCATCCTTGCCGTGGGCGTGGAGTCATTCGCATCCCCAAAACTTCATGGACTGAAAGCAATGAAGGGGTGTTTCCCCAGAAATGATCAGAGTTCTCGTCGCAGGACAAAGGGGGCTAGATGCAGGGTGGCTGAAGTCAATGGTTGCCACTCTATGTCGCTTTTTTTGCAATGGTCTAGATTGACTCAAAGCTTATCTGATAGCAGCTCCTCCCTCTTACATGCCATAAAAATGTATTAGTGACAAAAGTTCTCATAGGAAGGATAATTATTAGTGGAACAAGTGACTAAAAGACTCCATGGCATGTTACTCCTAGAGATCCCTGAGAGTAGGAAAGATACAAGAAGGGTGGTCTGTGGCTTAGCCCCCAGACCATGCACCAGGTTCAGACCCACCTGGGCTCCCAAATTGCCCATGCTCACATGGGTCTCCCTTCCCTCTCACCCACCCTTGCCCCCAGTTCTGTCTCCCTCTCCTCTTCTGCTGTGAACTCATCTTGCCTTGTGAGGGCCCGCCTTGGTGCTGCCTCCCCTCTGAGGCCTTATCTGGCCCTTCCAGACTGTCCTGCTGTCCCCATTCTCTGAATTAGAACGGCATTGACTGTCAGGATTGCAGTTTACTGTTTACATGTTCCTTAAGAACTTCACGTATCTTAGTTTCTCTCACAGCTTGAATTCTCCATTCTTGGAGGAAAATTAAGTTTCATTCCCGAGCCCGCTAGTATGTGGTAGCTAATACATACTAGGTGCTTAAGTGCATCCAATTAATTGGCCAACAGAAAATGAGTCTTCCTAAATAGATTAGGGAGAATGGATGGATTACTTGGGGTCCTTAATTCTCTTTTTCTTTCTTTCTTTTTTTTTTTTTTTTGAGACAGAGTCTTGCTCGGTCACCCAGCTTGGAGTACAATGGTGAGATCTTGGCTCAATGCAACCTCTGCCTCCCAGGTTCAAACGATTCTCCTGCCTCAGCCTCCTAAGTAGCTGGGATTACAGGCACCCACCACCACACCTAGCTAATTTTTGTATTTTTAGTAGAGACAGGATTTTGCCATATTGGCCAGGCTGGTCTCGAACTCCTGACCTCAGGTGATTCACCCCCACCTCGGCTTCCCAAAGTGCTGGGATTACAGGCATAAGCCACCATGCCCAGCCTTGAGGTCCTTAATTCTGACTTTAGAAGTAATATAATAACCATAGGAAACACAAATGGTATGCTGGAGTTCCTACAGGCATCATCTCAGGTAATCCTCACAATGACCCTACGAGGCAAGTACTGCTATTATCCCATTTAACAGATGGGTAAACCGAGCCTCAAAGAAATGAGTTACTTGTCCTAAATTATACATGTAGTAAGTGGTGATGTGGGGATTATAACCCAGAATGCCACCTTCTCATTTTCTATTCCACTAATCATTTACAAACCTATCAGTAGAATTTCCTGCTGCCTGAGTTTAAAGAGCAAAGGGTACAGGTGATTGGTCAGAGAGCAGGAAGAAGTACATACATATATTTTAGACCCCTCTTCTGCCACCTGGGTGCCCAGTACCTCTACTGGGAAGTTCTTATTAGATTCTACCCAGGGGTGAGGGGTCACTCCCTGCCCCAGAGCCTTCAGGGATTTCACAAAAATAGGTGCCTCTGGGACTCTGCAGAGAGTAGGGTGTTTTTTAATTAAATGGGGGTAGGGTGGTCTTTGTGGGAAACGTTGGCTAGAGGGTAGGCTTTAGAATTTAAGCTTGCCCCTTGGGCTGCCAGTCAGTGCAGTATGGCCCTGCCCTTTCTCCTACCCCCCACCAGGGTGACCAAGCTGGGGCCCTCCCTCAGAAGGTGGCTGGCAGGATTTGAAAGGCAACCGCATTCTGATCTCAAAGAAAACCAAAATCTTGAGAATATAGTGGCTTGTACCATCTATGCCCCCATATCAAGCCACTGGACTCTTGGCTGATGCAGTCATCTTTGTGCCGGCAAAACTTTTGGTTGAGGTGTATCTTGTTTCTTTGATGCACACCGGCCTATTCATATAGCTTCGTATCTTGGAAAGAGCAGATCCTATTGATTTACGTCATTTCCTTTATCTTTACCATATCCTGGGGCAGTGTGAAAGAGCTGGTGTTCGCACCTTCCTTCCACTGATGGCACAACTGAGGCATAGAGAGTGAGTTGTGACCCTTACACAGAAGGTTCCAGGCCAGGATTTTAAGAGCTCTGAGGTCTTTAGAACCCAAATCTGCTTGGTTCTCCATGAGGTTATGATGGTGGGCAGGGTGGGAGGAATACATATATACAGACAGAAAGGCAGATAGACCGACAGACAGACAGACAGACAGAGATAGATAGATAGATAGATAGATAGATAGATAGATAGATAGATAGATAGATAGATATAAATTCTTTGGGTAAATCTTTAAGAGAAAAAAAAAAAAAAACACTGCTAGACCCAAGAGAAATGAACACATGTTTACACAAAAACTCGCCCATGAATAACAACATTATAATAATAGCCAAACAGAAGAAACACCCCAAATGTTCATCAGCTGATGAATGGAGAAATAAAATGTGGTGTGTCCATGCAATGAAATATTACTCAGCAATAAAAAGGAAAGAAATGGCCGGGCGCGGTGGCTCACGCCTGTAATCCCAGCACTTTGGGAGGCCGAGGTGGGCAGATCACAAGGTCAGGAGATCGAGACCATCCTGGCTGACACGGTAAAACCCCATCTCTGCTAAAAATACAAAAAATTAGCCGGGCGTGGTGGCAGGCGCCTGTAGTCCCAGCTACTCGGGAAGCTGAGGCAGGAGAATG